TTTACTATAAGCTTCCAAAACCCGGGTGCAGAGATATCAAATTGGTGAGCATCTCAAGTGTCAGAAGCCAACTGACGAGTTGAATTTCTATGTTTTTGGTAGTCTGTTCCCTTTAGGTAGTTGTGGTTTTATTAATTTGGAAATATCCTCTGAATGTGAGTTTCTTTGTCTCAAGGATGGAAAATTAATGAGCACTTCCATATGTTATATTCTTTTCCTTACCTTTCCTTTCTTTTCCCCTTCCCTCTTTTCTTCTTTCATCCTTCCTTCCCTTCCTCCTGTCTTTGCTATTCTGTGGTTTGAACTCAGGACCTTGCATATGCTAGGTAAGTGTTTTACCACTATGTACCTAGCCCTTTTTGCCTTAATTATTTTTCAGATGTAATCGTATTCTTTTCTGAGCAGGTCTTGAACCATGGTTCTTCTAAGTATGCTTTCCAAGTAGCTGGGACCACAAGTGAGCACCACCATACATCATCATGCCTTGCTCATCCTTTGAGACAAGATTTGGCTAACATGTACGTCCTGTCTCTATCTCCAAAGTAAAAAAAGTTTATTATCAAAGGTACGAGCCTCCGTGCTACCTCTTCCTCTTCCTTCTTTTCTCCTATTTTTTCTTTTAAATTTTGATATAGAGTCTCACCATGTACACCATGTACAGATATGTGCCATCACATCTAGACAATATGAGCACTCTTCTTAAACTCCATGTTTACAAGGTCAAATGGTTAGCAAGTGGCATTAGCACAACTGAAACTCAGGCAGGATTACTCCAGAAGCCTATTTGCTATTAGAATAACTTGCTTTTCAAGAGCTGATTCTAAAGTCAACAAAGAGAAAGAAACAAACTTTCTGCAAATTTTATTTTCTTGATATACCACATGATCCTCTTAGCCACTGTTGAGCCATTCACAAACTAAGATGTGCATCTGAGTGGAACACCAATACAAATTTCAAAAGTGGCCAAACACATAAAAATAAATGGTGCTTACTGATTAGAGGAAAGAATACTTCTTGTATTCTTGTTCCTGTTGCTCAGGATAGATGACTAGGAGTGGTACAGCTGGGTTGTAGGGAAGGTCTATGTTTAGTTTTCTGAGAAACCTCCAGACTGCTTTCTAGAGTGGTTGTATTAGTGTACATCCCCACCAACAGTGAAGTAGGGTTCCTCTTTCTCCACATCCCCACCAGCATTTGTCATCTGAATTTAGGATATAGGCCATTCTGATTGAAGTAAGGTGGTATCTCAGGGTTGTTTATATTTGCGTTTCTTTTATAGCCAAGGATGATAACCATTTCCTCATGTGTTTCTTTGCCATTTTTATATCTTCTTCTGAGAAATCTCTCTTTAGCTCTCTTGCCCATTTAATGATTGGTTTGTTAGATTTGGGAGGGATTAGTTTCTTCAGTTCCCTGTATATAATGGATATTAGGCCTTTGATATATTGCTGGTAAATATCTTCTCCCAATTGGTTGGCTGTCTTTCTAGTTTGATATGCCTTTAGCAGTGCAGAAACTTTTTATTTATTTATTTATTTTTATTTGTCAAGTCTCTCTTAAATTTGTTGTGACCCTGTGACTCTGTTCAGGAAGTTCTTGCCTGTGCCTATAAGTTCTAGTGTCTCTCCTACTCAGTCCTGCAGTAGTTTCAGAGTTTCAGGTTTGATGTTGAGATCTTTAATCCATTTTGAGTTGATGTTAGTGCCTGGTGACAGGTTGAGATCCACTTTTAGTTTTCTTTTTTATTTTAATATGTTTTTATTGTAAAAATACTGTACAGAGGGGTTACAGTTACATGAGCAAGGTAATGAGTACATTTCCCATCAGGCATTATTGCCTTCTTCATTGTTTTTCCCCTTTCAGTTTTCTAAATGTGGCCGCCCAGTTTTTCCAGCACCAATAGTTGAAGAGTCTATATTTTTCCCACTGTATGTCTTTGGCTCCTGTGTCTAATATCAACTAACTGTAAGTATGTGGTTTTATTTCTGGGTCTTCTAATCTATTCCATTGGTCTTTGAGCCTAATACCGAGCTGTTTTTGGCTCTACTATGGAGCCATAATAATCAGGTAATGTGATAACTCTTGTATTGTTTCTTTTGCCTAGAATTGCTTTGGCTATTCTAGGTCTTTTGCTGCTCCATATGAATTATTGGATTGTTTTTTCTATTTCGGTAAAGAATGCCATTGGGACTTTGATGGAAATTGCATTGAATTTGTATATTATTTTTGGCAGTATGGCCATTTTCACAATATTGATTCTGCCTATCTAAGAACATGGAAGGCCTTTCTATTTCCTGGTGTCCTCTTTGATTTCTTTCTTTTGATTTTTATAGTTTTTACTGAATAAGTCCTTTACATCTTTGGTTAGGTTAATTCCTAACCTAAGATATTTTATTCTTATTGTGGTTATTGTGAATGGGGTTGTTTTCCTGATTTCCCTTTCTGCTTGTACATTGTTGGTGTATGCAAAGACAACTGATTTTTCTGGGTTAGTTTTGTATCTAACTACTTTGCTGAAGTGATATATTAGTTCTAAGAGTTTGGAAATGGAGTTTTTGTGGTTGTTTAGGTATAAGATCATGTCATCTGCAAATAGGGATAGTTTAATTTCTTCCTTCCTTATGTGGATCCCTTTAATGTCCTTTATCGCCTTATTTCTCTGGCTAAGGATTCCAGAACTATATTGAAGAGGAGTGGAGAGAGTGGACATACTTGGCTTGTTCCTGATTTTAGGGGAATTGGTTTTACTTTTCCCCATTTAGTATGATATTGGCTATTGGTCTGTCATATATGGCTTTTATTGTTTTAAAGAATGCTCCTTCTATTCCTATTTTCTTCGGAGCTTTTAACATGAATGGGTGTTATATTTTGTCAAAAGCTCTTTCTGCATCAATAGGGATATTCATGTGGTTCTTGACCTTGGATCTGTTAATGTGATGAATTACATTTATTGATTTACATATGTTAAACCAGCCCTGCATCTGTGGGATGAAGCCTACTTGATCATAATGTATGATTTTGGGGGGATATGTTTCCGGATTCTATTGGCTAAAATTTTATTGAGGAGTTTCGCATCTGTGTTCACCAAAGAGATTGGTCTGTAGCTCCCTTTTTTTTTTTTTTGGTTGGATCTTTGCCTGATTTTGGCATGAGTGTGATATTGGCTTTATAGAATGAGTTTGGAATTGCTCCCTCTGCTTCTATTTCACGGAAGAGCTTGAGAAGTATGAGTATTAGTTCCTCTCTAAAGGTTTTATAGAATTCTGTGGTAAATCCATCTGAGCCTGGGGTTTTTCCTTGTTGGAAGACTTCTGATTGCTTCCTCTATCTCATTGTAAGTTATTGGCTTATTTAGTTGATTGATATTCTCTTTTTTCAGTTTGGCAATTTGTATTTTTTCTAGAAATTTGTCCATTTCTGCTAGGTTTTCCTTCTTTAGTGAATTTAGATTTTTTTGGAAATAGTTCTTTATGATCATTTGGATGTCTTGAATGTTTGTTGTAATTTTTCCTGTGGCATATTACTGATTTGGGTCTCCTTTCTTCTTTTGGTTAATTTCACAAGGGGTCTATCAGTTTTACTGATTTTTTTCAAAAACCCAGCATTTTGGTTCATTAATTTTATTTAGTTTTTTAATTCTCTATCTCGTTAATTTCTGCTTTTATCTTGGTTATCTCACTCTGTCTAGTAACTTTGGGTTCAATTTTTTTCTTGTGTTTCTAACAGTTTTAGTTGCATCATAAGATTATTTACCCAAGTCTTTCCATTTCCTAACAAATGGGGTGATGTCATTCTTTCTGATGGAAGTATAGAAAAAATTATATTAAGTGAAGTAAGCCAGGCCCAAAGAAACATAGGTCCCATGGTTTCCCTTATTTGCATTAACTAGTATAAGTCTAGGACAAGCAGGAAAGGTCAAAAGCTATGTACATATGACCATAAAAGATGATGTTATGCGAAATTAACCCCAAGATAGGGACACAAATGGTTTTTTTTCTTTCTTGCTATTGTTTTTAACGTATTTACAATGTACTATGTGATTTTTTTTTGTTTCTTTGGTATGTTTCTCCCTCACAGCATAACCCGTTTTCACTGTATTTGATTCTGGTGCCCTGCATCTTGTATATACATTTTTTTCTAATTTGGGGAGGGGAAGGGAAAAAGCAAAATGCTTAACTAGGGATAACAATGAGATGTACAAGACACTATGTTGAAAACGAACTTTACAATTTGGGCAGGGATGGGGGTATAGTTGGGGAGGTGGGGAAGGAAGGGATGGTAGGAGAAAAAGGAGAAGGCAACAATGCCTGATAGGAATGGTACTCATTACCTTGCTCATGTAACTGTAACCCCTCCGTACAGTGTTTTTACAATAAAAATGTATTAATAAAATAAAATAAAAAGATTATTTACCTGATTTGCTTCTATTTTCTTGATGTGTGTGCTCAGAGCAATGAACTTGGGACTGCTTTTGTGTGTCCCAGAGGTTCCATTGTGATTATTCTTTTGGGAGAGTCCAGTTGTGGGCCTGAACTCTGGGTCTGGGCGCTGTCTCTCAGCTCTTCAGCTCAAGGCTAGCACTCTACCACTTGAGCCACAGCAACACTTCCGGCTTTTTTCTTTTTGCTTATGTGGTGCTGAGGAATCAAACCCAGGGCCTCAGGCATGCAAGTCAAGCACTCTACCACTGAGCCACCTTCCCAGCCCCTGTGAAATGCTTTATTTTTCATTGAATTGTAGAACTTACTAATTTTTTCTTTAATTTGTTCTGTGACCCAGGTGTTATGCAGTATAGTATGCTGTTCAGCTTTCATGTATATGAGTAATTTCTGCAGTCTGCTTTGTTGTTGAGAACTAGGAACCAGGATACAAGGACATATGCACCTCCATGTTCATTGTTGCCCTGTTCATAATAGCCAAGATATGGAAACAACCCAGACACTCCACTACAGATGAATGGATCCAAAAATTGTGGAATATTATGTAGCCATTAGAAAGAACAAAATAATGGCATTTTCAGGGAAATGGATGGAGCTAGAACAAATCATGTTGAGCGAAATAAGCCAAGATCAGAGTGACAAATGGCATATGGTCTTCCTGATAGGCAGATGTTAAATTCAAAACACAATGAAGTACGACACAGTAAATAGGACTCAAGAAACAAAGAACCTTTTCTTAATACATTGCAACAATGATACCCACAGGACAGTATATTGGAAACGAACTTTACAACTTTGGGTGGGCTTGATTTCTATCTGAAGGGAGGAGTGTAGGAGGTGGGGGAGGGAAGGGATAGAGGGACAACAACAAGGAAAGAGTTAACAATGATCAACAAGTAATGTACTCATTGCCTTCCTCATGTAACTGTGACCCCTCTGTACAGCATCTTCACAATAAAATATTTTTTTAAAAAATAAAGGACCTTTTCTTAATTTGTCACATCATTTTTAGATGACTGTATGCTCTTGACCCCTCATATGGTATATACATGTGCATATAAGAGGGAAGCTGAGAGGAGGGAACAGGAAAAAGGACTTAAAGATTATTAAGACTTAAAGATAAATTCTATAAATGCATAGTTTTTTATTTTTATCCTCTATTTTGGTTCAAATTTCAGAATTGTTCTTCCAGTTTATCTTTCTATATTTTAATCTTTTGCTCCCATACATTTCTACATTCTAGAATAGAAAAAGGATTAGATTAAAATTTATTGGACATGTCACAGTTTTTTAGTGCTTTCTTTAGATACTTCCTCCTATAACTTCTTTAACAATGACTAGGGTTTATACTCAAAGGCTGTGTGCTTGCTTGGCCAGTGCTCTACCCCTTGAGCCACATTTCTAGCCCCAAATAATCTTAAATTGAAGTAATCTTTCTCTCCCAACACAGACTTTTGACATGCTTGTGTGCATTTATACGGAGTGACTTTCTCCAGAAATTCTTTCTTCCTCCTCAGTGAAGGTCTGTTCATGTGTTACGATTACTTAAAATTGTTGTTTCCCTCCCAAATTTGCTCCTGATTGTCTCGTTTGAATGAGGTCTTTCTCACATCTGAGCAATTTGTTACTCAATGTGATCATGGCATCTGTGTTACCTTACCTGGTTTTTTAACTCAGGCAAAATTAGATCTTCTTGAGATTGCTTTCAAGTAAAATAGAAAGGATGGGTGGTATTACATAATAGACCCTCAGATTGTTTTGTGTTAGATGTAATCACATGCAGATTCTAAAATAGAAAACCTCTGTTCCTAAGTGACAATAATTTTCCCACAGTGGACTGCCTGGAATACAGACTCTGAAATTGGTTGATTTTTATTTTTTCAAGTTAAATTGAATTAATACAAAATTGTTCAGAATACAAGGAGGAAACTGTGGCTGTTAACAATGAACAGAACTACTGATAAAAAAGAAATAGAAGCCACCTGTTCTAAGTTACCATTCTACCTCCTCTGCCACCTTTTTCTGGTCCTTGAAATTCCCCTGTCTCGGCTTTCTCTACCAATAAGTCTTCCCCAAGGAGAGTCAGTTATCCTGGCAATTTTCCAAGACCATTTGCAAAAGAGAGAGAGAGAGAAAGAGAGAGAGAGAGAAAACAGGAAGTTGAACTACTAGAGGTTCATTAAGCATGAAAAATGATAAAAATCATACAATGTAGAAACTATCAAACTTTGTTATAGATTTTAAACAAAACCCCTCTTTACTTTGCAATAATTATTTTCAAGAAGGCCCAAGAACATATCCAGTGGGGTATGTAAAACCCTCTTATATCACCCTCCCAATAACATAATTGCATAACTAATAATGTAAAATCATAACCTGAAAATTAACAACTGTATAATTTATATAGCTTATTTAAATGTCACCAGTGATACATTTCCTGTTTTACATCTGTATATGTGTAGCTGTGTACAATTTCATTATGTGACTACAGGCAATGATACAATCAATGTCACGATCTATGCCTACACACAGGACTCCCTGATACTTCACAGGTATGGCCACATTTACCATGAGAACTCTACTCCTCCTAACTTACACCTGCTCATCTGTTTCCATCTCTGTATTATTTCACAGGTAGAATATTAATAAAAATTAATCTATATATTCTTTTGAGATTTTTTAATCCATCATTTCTTTGAGGTATATACATGTTTAAAGTGTATAAACTTTTTATAATACATATCATTCAGCTAATCTTGCTTGGAAATATTCTATGTATGGATTTATTTGTTTTTATTTATTTAAGTCTCCACCCAAAAAAACATTAGGGTCATTTCTAGTATGTGGTTATCATGAATAAAAATATTATTTTATTCTTCTCATGTCCATTGCTTTAGTCCATGTGATAGAAATGCATATTTTGTGTAGAACATGAAGAACAGAGTCTAGTCCATAAACTCACCATTTGTGATATAGTTGCCAGAATAGACTGTGCTTAGATTTCTATCTGAAGCTTCTTCAGGAATTAAACTTTTGTCACAAACATTGGGAAAACACATTCAATTGTCAGTGTGTTAGTAAGTTGCTAGTAACTTGTGTTACTAGACTTTGCTTGATTTTAAGAAAGTGCACTTAAAAGAAGTCATGATTTCAGAGACTTTAGAACACAGATGATTGTCTTTGGGCTTGTCCTATGAGACTAGAAAATGCTTGTGGTGGATTTAATCTGTTACTTATGAAGACTGCTGGAAGTGCAGAGACAAACAGGGTCAGGGCTATCTGTCTACCCCTTTCAAATGCCATGTCCCCAATGACCTAAGCGCTTCCAAACCCTCCTAGATGTTCTACCAAGTAAACATTTCACATGTGGTCTTTGGAGGAAATTTAAATCCAAACTATAATGACTAGTACCACCAGCAAGAGTAAACGGAAGTATTAAAAAAGAAAAAAAAGCCAGAAAAACTAAAATAAAGTGAAAGTAAAAACAAACAAAAGCCCAGCAACAATACACACATATGCAAGGTCTCTAAACATCTCTAATTCATGACAAATAATACAAAAGAGATGCCTGAAGTATAAGACTGGAACTTTAGTTTTTGAATACAAAAAATATAATAAAACAGAGATACAACTTAATTTCTATAGCAATAAAAACATAAAGAAAAAACAGAGACAAATTATTTTCTATATCATTGCTTTCTGTTGTACATGACAGTGAAAAAATTTAAATCATGTTTCAAAATATAAAATAATTTGATGTCACCTTTAGTCAAACTACTCCAAATTATGTTGTTGCTTACCTTATGATTATATAGTCTAATACTTAGAAAAGTTCACTGCTGTATATTTTTTCACAATGCCATTGTTCATCTTAGTGTAGATTTTCTTTTAAAATACATTTACTTGGAAAATTATGTTTTTTGATGCAATATTGCCTTTACCAAATTTTTCAGGTTTAAAATATTATTATATATATAGAATATTTTTAAACTAAAGGCACATAATAAGGAGGTAATTCTAAACTTAAAATTTCTACTTATATTCCAATAAGCACAGTACTTCTTTTTCTATATCATTTATGCAATAGATAAAATAATTGATTTATTTTATCTATTAGAATAATAATTTTATTCATAAATATATTTATAATTAGTTGATACTGAACATAATACTTGTTATTATCATTGCATAAAGTTATTTTCACTATCTCAAGTTTTCTTGCATTTTATTATTTTTTTCAACTGCAATAAATCATATTAAAACTTATTTTCTTTTGTAAAATAAATGTTTTTAGCAAGCAACAGAAATCAATGAGATTATAGTCACTAGAGATAGTAACAAACCACTGTTTTATTAATAACTAAAGAATATGCATATAGTTACTATATTGTTCAATTACTCATAATTATAATATTGAAAATAATTCTAGAACCAGTGATATGCTGGAATTCCAGAAGTTACCTATAGGCACAAGGACCATATTGGTAAAGTTAAATTATACTCTAGAGAAATACATGCAAATAACCAATTTAAGCAATTTACGTAATCACTGCTATGTGAATAGAGGATGCGATGGGTGTTATTTGTTCCTGTGGGTCTTTGAATGCTGTTGCCTCCCTGCCTGCCAGGGAATCTTGTGGACATCCTTTCAGCTAATCACATTTTCTTAAGGAAATCTCTCTTTGTAAAATTTAATATTTCTGCATGAAGAAGAATATTATGTTTTTAAACTTCACACTGCACATTAAAAATAAGAACAACAAAGAAAAAAAAAGAAAGAAGACTTCTCATTGTTTGGTAAAATCTTTTAGAGAAAATCCTACCATTTCAACAGAGAAAAGGATAAGAGAGAATGAAACCAAAGGGAAAAAATAGATGAGAAAAACAGAACCAAGAAGTTAAAAGGCACTCAAGTAGAGTTAGGAGGAAAGAGAATGAAGAGTAAATGTATTGGCTGAAAACATCAGTGAAGACTGAGTTCACCATGATGAAGGCAACGAGAAAGGAACTAAAATGTGCTCACTTGAGGATACTGCTAAAATGGAATATGTGGCTGGTGACTACTGCCTTAGACAGCAAAAGTCTTGGTGTTTGAAGCAGACCAAGTTGCCAAGCACCAATGACTCATGTCTGTAATCTTACCTATTCAGGATGCTGAGGTCTGAGGATTGGGATTTGAAGCCAGCTTGGGCAGGGGAGTCTGTGAGATTCTTAATCCAATTAATCAGCAAAAAGCTGGAAATGGAGCTGTGATCAAGTAATAGAGTGCTATCCTTGAGCAAAAAACTCAAGACAGTGCCAAGGCCCTGAGTTCAAGCCCCAGGACTGAAGTGCGTGCGCGCACGCGTGCGCACACACACACACACACACACACACACACAGGAGGTTATAAGTCATGTCTATACAGTCCAGGGGCAACTGGGGGAAATGGAAATGTTTAGTGTCACTGCCAGTGTAGTAGCCTCAACCCAAGTCGCTTCTAATCCCTTAAAATACAATTTCTATAAGTGAGCAACTGAATTAAATTTTTTTAAGTTTGATTGATTCAAGTGTAAACAGAC